CTCTCTCTCTCTCTCTCTCTCTCCCTCTCTATTATAAACATATTAAATCGGCCGTATCTCTGCTCTCTGTCGCGTTCAAATATACAAAGCACATATTCATACGACTATCCGAGGTTGTTGCTGTGACTGTCACTGCCAATAGCGTGGCCCCCGTCTTACAGCACTTCCACGGGTTATTCACAATTACTTACATCCGAGGTCGTTGCTGCGACGGTCGCTGCCAATAGTGTGGCCCCCGTCTTACAGCCCTTCCACGGGCCATTCGCAATTACTCAATCCGAGGTTGTTGCTGCGACGGTCGCTGCCAATGGCGTAGCCCCCGTCTTACGGCACTTCCACAGGCTTTTCACAATTTCTTATCATCCGAGGTTGTTGCTGTGACTGTCGCTGCCAATAAGCGTGGCCCCCGTCTGGTTGCACTTCTTCGGAACGTCGACAATTCGTTTGCATCACCGCGTACCTCGATGCTTACTAAGGGAGGACGAAGACAGCGAGAGAAGAGAATAAGATTTCAAATCAAAACAGCCCTTAGTTCAAATAGCGATCCTTTTCCGAAAAGCTGGCGCAATTATTAGACCCAATCGAACCAGCAAACGCGACCCGCGAACCCGTATATATAATATATTGGAACAATTGGAGATCAATCTCGCGTTTCCCAACTACAAGAGGAACTACGAAAAGGCGATCCACGTAGATTCGCATACAAGCTCCGCAATCTTTTTGGCACCGGATTCAAAATTACCCTTCCAAACAACTATCCGATACTCCCTAGTGAAAATCCTTGATCGCACAATTCTATCTCCTACTCCTTAGTAAATTCCTCAAATAGCCTCTTCTACACACACACACACGCACGCACGCACGCACACACATAGACATTCGTAATATGTAAAAAGCCTAGAATCGTAACAAATATGGAAATAAAACGTAGTTGTAAACGCTAGTAGATACAAATATATATATGTAACTATACCTATTAAAACATAATAGCATATGTAAATTTCAATCGATAAATAAATGACATTAAGTCGTTCAAGTATATAATCGGGTATGACAATTATAATTGATGAATAAATGATGTTAAGTTGTTCACCAGTCAAGATTTATGTCCGTCACCTTTCCGATTCATTGCATCTAACCGAGGGTCCTATCCTCGGTCACAGGGATTAAGTTCCTTGACCGAAATAAAGGATCAACGGTAGCACTGTCTCGGTCGGCGTTATAGCGCCTGTATAGGTGTTGACCCGCTCCGAAGACTTGCACAAGTGCTTCCGACTCGCGGCACGCGTCCACGGAGCGATAAGCCGCGGAAAATAGTTTCGGTTGCGTTACCACCCCCCCCTTTTTCTACTCCTAAACTCCTCGTTTTCCATGAGATAAAGAACCTCGGGGGTTGGACGTAACAACATGTATAGACATATTTCATATATAATTATATATCCCAGACAGCACAGTAACGTTTTAAAAATGTATTTAAAATGTACATGTTGGACGTTTTGGTCATATTAAAAACGTCCAGATAAGATCCATGGATATTTTAAAATCGTTTCAAAAACATCCAATGTTACCATTTTGGATTTCTTAAAAACGTCCATTTTAGGACGCAATGGACTAAAACTGGACGAAATTAATATATTAAACAAATTTTAGACCACAATTCAAACAAAATGATTCTTATAAGAATGTAACGATGCATCCGCAAAGGCATCATTCCCGACCAGTCTTCCGTCGGATGCCGCTGCACCCCGCTATCAGGGGCAGCAGCGAGGAGGGCGCGGTGCGCCCGTATTATTTTAAACGAACCAAAAGACAATTCACAGGTACCACCGGCGATCCGTGACCCGCGAAACATCGCGAGGCAACCCACGGGAAACCGCCGCTCCGCCGAAGACCGGCGAACAGGCGCGAACCGATCCGAACCGCGTCAACCCCCGCTCGTATTGTTCACTAGCGGAAAGCGTCGAATTACTCCGGAACAATACGAGCGGGAGCGACAGTTAGTATAAAAGACGAGGCGATTAACAGACTCGTC